TAAGGAAGATGATGATGGTGGTGGTGATGATGAAGATGATGATGGTGGTGGTGATGAAGATGAAGATGATGATGGTGGTGGTGATGAAGATGAAGATGATGGTGGTGATGGTGGTGGTAGTGATGAAGAAGATGATGATGGTGGTAATGATGATAAGGAAGATGATGGTGGTGGTGGTGATGATGAAGATGATGATGGTGGTGGTGATGAAGATGAAGATTATGGTGGTGATGGTGGTGGTAGTGATGAAGAAGATGATGATGGTGGTAATGATGATGAGGAAGATGATGATGTGGTGGTGGTGATAATGATGATGATGAAGATGATGAGGTTGGTGGTGGTGATGATGATGAAGATGATGGTGGTGATGAGGATGACGATGATGATGAAGATGATGGTGGTGGTGGTGGTGATGTTAACGGTAATGATGATGATGATGATGATGATGTGGTGGTGGTGACGTTGATGAAGATGATGGTGGTGATGAGGATGACGATGATGATGAAGATGATGGTGGTGGTGGTGGTGATGTTAACGGTAATGATGATGATGATGATGATGTGGTGGTGGTGACGTTGATGAAGATGATGGTGGTGGTGGTGATGATGATGATGAAGATGATGATGTGGTGGTGGTGATGATGAAGGTGATGATGATGGTGGTGGTGATGAAGATGAAGATGATGGTGGTGATGGTGCTGGTGGTGGTGGTGATGAAGATGAAGATGATGGTGGTTATGATGATGAGGAAGATGATGATGTGGTGGTGGTGATGTTGATGAAAATGATGGTGGTGGTGATGATGAAGATGATGATGAAGATGAAGATGATGATGATGGTGGTGGTAATGATGATAAGGAAGATGATGGTGGTGGTGGTGGTGGTGATGATGAAGATGATGATGATGGTGGTGGTGATGAAGATGAAGATGATGGTGGTGGTGATGGTGGTGATGAAGATGATGATGATGGTGGTAATGATGATAAGGAAGATGATGGTGGTGGTGATGATGAAGATGATGATGAAGATGAAGATGATGATGATGGTGGTAATGATGATAAGGAAGATGATGGTGGTGGTGGTGGTGGTGGTGATGATGAAGATGATGATGATGGTGGTGGTGGTGGTGATGAAGATGATGATGATGGTGGTAATGATGATGAGGAAGATGATGATGTGGTGGTGGTGATGTTGATGAAGATGATGGTGGTGATGGTGGTGGTGGTGGTGATGATGATGATGAAGAAGATGATGATGATGGTGGTGGTGATGATGATGAAGATGATGGTGGTGGTGATGACGATGATGATTAAGATGATGATGATGGTGGTAATGATAATGAGGAAGATGATGGGTTTGTAACCTATAAAACACGTACACACAGCTGCACGCAATCTCCGCTTTATAAATCACACTCTAACTAGAAGTGTTCTCAGGTGTTTCTGGATCACATCCCGACCTCAACACGCCCACTTTCTGCCATAAATGGTCAATGCAAAGTGTCGTGTGGATCTCATGCATATACATAAGCCGGCTCGCTGCAGCATTTCACCGTTAACGATGGTGACCGCAGATCAAGGAAGCACAATTTCACCAAAGCAGAAATTGAGGTACTTGTGGGTGAGGTGGAGAAATGAAAGGAAGAGCTTCTGCAAAACAAATAAGAGAAAATTCACGGAGTGGCACAGCGTTGCTGAAGCGGTCAATGCTGTGAGTTTTTCAGAGAGATCTGTGGCGGATATAAAAAAAATTGTCTAATTGGGATTTGATCCCCAGACTCCCGAGTGAGAGTCACGCACGCTAACCAGTCAGCCAGAGGGACACCCCCCTTGGCCAAGTAGCCAGGGTGCATGATCAATCAGGTCACTGTGACAGGACGCTCACACTCCCATTCTGCCCCCCTGCTGATATTCTGCATTCTGTGCTTCAGGCTGTGTGTGTGTGTGTGTGTGTGTGTGTGTGTGTGGTGGTGGTGGTGGGGGTGGGGGTGGGGGTGGGGGGAGGTACAAGTGATAATGCTGCTGGAATTCATAATTGATTCCTTCTCAGCAGCAGCACTGCAGATGCTCTCCGTGTCCAAAATGTGCATAAGCCAGGTCCTTAATCAACTTAAAGTTGCGCACATTTTTCCGCTACATTTTCTTTTATAAATCCCAAAGTTTGAGTGGAAAGTTGCTTACGCAGTTTTCTGACCCTGTTTTGTGCGTAAGCAAGCGTAATAAATGAGGCCCTAGAACCAGGATCATGAAATGAACCCTGAAGTTGACTGGCAGCCAGTGAAGCTGGAGGAGAAGCGGGGTGATGTGGGTGTGTTTGGAGGACTTGGTCAGAAGCAGAGCACAGGCATTCTGAACCACCTGTAGACGGTTCAGGGAGGCTCTGCTCAGACACGTGAAAAGAGAGTTACAGTAGTCTAAGTGTGAGGAGATGAAGGTGTGGAGAACTGTCTCAAGTTCAGAGCGAGACAGAATGGGACTCAGCTTAGCAATGTTCCTGAGATGGAAGAAGGAAGAGAGAACAAGAGAACTGACATGAGAATCCAGGGTGAGAGCTGGGTCAAAGGTCACACCAAGATTCCTGACGGAGAGTTTGGTGTGAGGAGCAAGCTGACCAAGAGAGTCTCTGACTTTGGGAACCAGCTTGTCTGGGGCACAGATGAGGATCTCAGTCTTATCTTCATTCAGCTGTAGAAAGTTCCCAGCCATCCAGGTTCTGATAGAGTCTAAGCAGGTGTGTAGCATAGCCGTGGCGCTGGAATTTCTGAGTCTATGTAGGGGAACCACTGCCACTCTAAAGTTGTCTGATATTCTGGCCACAGAGGGCGATAGAGGTCTGAGTGACCTTTCATTAACCCTGTCAGGGTCATTTTTAGGGATCAGAGAAATTTTGGGCCGATACCAATGTCCGATATTAATATCGCTGTTATGGCCGATTACAGATATTTGCCGATACCGATATACATTCTGACATTTACGTTTCTGAAATCAGCAAATTTTGTATTGAGTGAAAACTATGCAAGCTGAATTTTTTATTGTCTTGCTTTATTTCTATAAAGTTCAGTTTGCTGGTCTATACTGTGCATTTCAGCATGGTAGATACACCACAGCTCTTAAGAGTTTTTTTCCGGCTAAAAGTGCCCGAAAACCTCTGTTGGCTTTGGTTGGCTACATCCGTTGGCTCCTAATTCCATGTTAGGTCGTAGCTACATTGGTTCAGAGTTTGATTAGTGTCAATCACTAGCTCCCACCGGTACAGCCTCGATCTCAGCTTTACGTCTTTCCCCATTTTGGGGTTTGGCGGTAGTGAATACTTGAGTTACTCAGCCAAGATGGCAGTGGTGGGAAGTGGGAACCACCCATTTGATTTCAAATTAGCCCCACAGAAATCTATGGGTGGGATTTTGTCCATCTTTTCTTACAGTTAAAAAAAATTCCCGTCTCACCCTCCATGGGTGTTCTCATCCTTCCAAGCTTGGGTCCTCTAACAGCCTGGGAGCTTGAGGTGGTGAAGTATCTTAGCTGTTTCTAGAACTGCTCTTTTCTGGACTCAGTTGTCTGGTGTTTTTCCAGGGATCTGCTTTAGCCACTCCTCCAGTCTGGGGGTTACTGCCCTTAGTGCTCCAGTGACCACGGAGAATAACACCCTTGTAAATTACGTCTCCAAGTTAACTCCCCAGCCTTGTCGTGAGGTAGGGTGGGTTAGTGTGTGTGTGTGTGTGTGTGTGTGTGTGTGTGTGTGTGTGTGTGTGTGTGTGTGTGTGTGCGTGCGTGCGTGCGTGCGCCCAGGGCACCAAACAGGCTAGAATTGCTCCTTATGGTGTTGATGATGTTGTTGATGATGATGATGATGATGATGTTACTCTGTAGATGCTGAAGAAACCTCCATCATGAAAGAGGCCAAGGAGCTGGGGAAGAGCATGGACCTGAACATAGTCCGGCTGAGGTTCACCGCCTACCTGCAGGACAGCAACGGGGGCTTCACTAGAGCTTTGAAACCTGTTGTGTCCAACCCAATCTACGACAGCAGTGAGTTTGCACCAGAACCTGAACCTTTCCTGGGTTTTTTAAAAGGATCAGAGACTATGCGGGCATTCTGGTATTAGGGCATGAAAGACTTGTTTGTTCAGGTCTCAGTGTGCGGTTCAGCAGGAAGAAACTGGGCTTGTTTTGGGTGAGACTCTGAATTGAGCGGGCTCAGGTAATTCAGGGTTGTTTCACCTGCAGAGTCGCCCAACGCCTCCAACCTGAAAATCTCCAGGATGGATAAGACCTGCGGCTCAGTTCTGGGAGGAGACGAGATCTTTCTGCTCTGCGACAAAGTCCAGAAAGGTCAGCTGGTTCATTCTTCAACATTGTTTTTTTGCGTATGTGGAATATCCCACCATGCCTCTTTGCTCCTCTTCAGATGACATAGAGATCCGTTTCTATGAGGAGGACGACGAAGGCGGCTGGGAGGCATTCGGGGACTTCTCACCCACCGATGTTCATAAACAGGTTAGAGTCTGAACTCAGTGAATGGAGTCTGAGTCGTGTGGCCGCTGGCGGGGTAATCCCTTCATGTCAACAGCCACCGACACTCCACTAAGCCTCGGATTCAGAATCCCCATGCAAACCAAGCAGGAGCCTGAGACTCTGCATGCATGTTTGTTAATGAATGAATGCTCTGTCTCTTAGACAGCAATCCCTGGAGCATTCCCACAAGTTTAGATGTTTCAGATGTCATCAGCATCCTGGTTGTAGTTCTAAAGTTACATCTCTCTTCAGTACGCCATCGTGTTTAAAACACCAGCCTATCACAGCGCAGAGATTGAGCGGCCTGCCACCGTCTTCCTACAACTCAGGAGGAAGAAGGCCGGCGACAGCAGCGATCCCAAACCGTTCACCTACATCCCTCAGGTCCAAGGTGAGTCTAAGCCACACGGCAGGAGGAGGTTGTGGGTCTGGGCTTAACCCCTCAGAGATCTGTTCCCCTGCTCTGTTTCAGATAAAGAGGAGGTGCTAAGGAAGAAGCAGAAGCTGCTGCCTCACTATGAATCCTGGAGAGGAGGAGGAGAGGCAGGAGGAAGAGGCGGAGGAGCAGGGGGCTTTGGAGGAGCTGCAGGAGGAACAGGAGGAGGTATGGATCATTCGATTGTATCAGTAATACAGTGATCCCTTGCTACTTCGCGGTTCATTTATCGCGGATTCACGACTTCGCAGATTTTTTCTTTGGAGCCTTATTCAAGGGAAATTCGCCGATTCGCGTTATTTTTCTATGCGAAATATCAAGAAATTCCTGTTTTTTTTTTTCATCAATTTCATCATAAAATGCACTTTTTGTAATAAAACTATAAAAAAATCAAGTAAAAATACAGTACTATGTAAAGGGAGGGTTTTAAAAGTCTGAATACTGAATACCTGTTAAATAAATACTGTAAATATGGTGTCCCTACTTCACGGATTTTCACCTATTGCGGCCAGGTCTGGAACGCATCTACCGCGATAAACGAGGGACCACTGTAGTGGTGTTTAACCACAAACCTCAGAAGGCAGGTGGGCAGGACCTGGACATGTACATGGAAACATGATGGAGATATGATGGGAACACTGGCATGCGTGTGTCCACTTCACCACGCTGTTTGCCGGGCCGTTTTCAGGAACTTTCTGAGTACCTGAGCAATGATATTTACTCGGAACGGCCCGGTGGAGTAGCTGAGTGGAACCTTTGGGTAACTCATGCTGATTGGTTGAAACTCAGTAGAAATGACATCAGCAGACGCCATCCAAACGACCAGCATTAGTACAAATTAGAAAAGTTACTGGTGAAGCAGAAAATCACGGCGGAATCCCCCCATAACTCAGTGGGCTGTGTTGCCTCGCAGAGCACTGTGAAAAACAGCTTCTTCCGGTCATTGAATGCCACATTTTACATGATGCAGCTGCACTCGTCCCCCGGATGGATTAAACGATGACGTACTTCAACAGAATGAAACTTTTAATGTAATTAGCTTTACTGTGGACGCTTTTTGGCGCTGATCAGTGACATCACTCACTGCCGATGCAGTGGTGGTACGCTGACGTCTGTGCAAAGTTGTGAATTTGAATGGAGACACAACAGCTTAGAGGACGTAGGCTTCATATCTTCTGATTAATTCCCCTGCAGCTCCGACTCTAGAAACGCACCTAATCAGAGTAGTTTTTGCTGATCAGCAGCCGCTCGTGTCTCGGCAGGTTTCCAGTTCTATCAGCAGACAAACGGAGGTTCGGGTGGAGGAGCCGGACCTTTTTATGCAGAAAGCTTCATGGGTTTTAACTCGGGGGGAGGAGCTCAGATGTCAGGCTCCACCCCTCAGACAGAAGTCTCCCAACAGCGAAGTGATGGGCAGATGAGTTTGCCCCTGCAGCAGCAGCTGCTTCAAATCGGTGAGATGTCAAACAAATGTTTGTATCTTGTGAATGTTTTATATTTACTTTTGATGCTGTTTCCAGCGGCGACACTCAGCTGTCGAGCGTCTCAGAGTGCTCGGCAGACAGCTGCTGCCCTGCTGCAGTACTGCAGCACTGGGGATGCCAAAGTCCTTCTTGCCCTGCAGAGACACCTGTGTGGCATCCAGGACACCAATGGAGACACGTGCGTCCACCTATCTCTAGATCCTGATTAGGTTTTGTTGGAATTAAAACAAGTTTACCTGCTTTGTTTCCTTCAGTCCGTTACACCTCGCCATCATCCACCAGCAGACCACCGTCATCCAGCAGCTGATCCAAACCCTGCTGAGCACCCAGCAGAATCGTGTTCTGAATACAGCAAACCACCTGCAGCAGGTACACAACTACACACCTGCAGCAGGTACACAACTACACACCTGCAGCAGGTACACAACTACACACCTGCAGCAGGTACACAACTACACACCTGCAGCAGGTACACAACTACACACCTGCAGCAGGTACACAACTACACACCTGCAGCAGGTACACATCTACACAGCTGCAGCAGGTACACAACTACACACCTGCAGCAGGTACACAACTACACAGCTGCAGCAGGTACACAACTACACACCTGCAGCATGTACACAACTACACAGCTGCAGCAGGTACACAACTACACACCTGCAGCAGGTACACAACTACACAGCTGCAGCAGGTACACAACCAGACACCTGCAGCAGGTACACAACCAGACACCTGCAGCAGGTACGCAACTACACAGCTGCAGCAGGTACACAACTACACACCTGCAGCAGGTACGCAACTACACACCTGCAGCATGTACACAACTACACAGCTGCAGCAGGTACACAACTACACACCTGCAGCAGGTACACAACTACACAGCTGCAGCAGGTACACAACCAGACACCTGCAGCAGGTACACAACCAGACACCTGCAGCAGGTACACAACTACACAGCTGCAGCAGGTACACAACCAGACACCTGCAGCAGGTACGCAACTACACAGCTGCAGCAGGTACACAACTACACACCTGCAGCAGGTACGCAACTACACACCTGCAGCAGGTACACATCTACACACCTGCAGCAGGTACACAACTACACAGCTGCAGCAGGTACACAACCAGACACCTGCAGCAGGTACACATCTACACAGCTGCAGCATGTACACAACTACACAGCTGCAGCAGGTACACAACTACACACCTGCAGCAGGTACACAACTACACAGCTGCAGCAGGTACACAACCAGACACCTGCAGCAGGTACACAACCAGACACCTGCAGCAGGTACACAACTACACAGCTGCAGCAGGTACACAACCAGACACCTGCAGCAGGTACGCAACTACACACCTGCAGCAGGTACACAACTACACACCTGCAGCAGGTACGCAACTACACACCTGCAGCAGGTACACATCTACACACCTGCAGCAGGTACACAACTACACAGCTGCAGCAGGTACACAACCAGACACCTGCAGCAGGTACACAACTACACAGCTGCAGCAGGTACACAACTACACAGCTGCAGCAGGTACACAACTACACACCTGCAGCAGGTACACAACTACACACCTGCAGCAGGTACACAACTACACAGCTGCAGCAGGTACACAACTACACAGCTGCAGCAGGTACACAACTACACAGCTGCAGCAGGTACACAACTACACACCTGCAGCAGGTACACAACTACACACCTGCAGCAGGTACACAACCAGACACCTGCAGCAGGTACGCAACTACACAGCTGCAGCAGGTACACAACCAGACACCTGCAGCAGGTACGCAACTACACAGCTGCAGCAGGTACACAACCAGACACCTGCAGCAGGTACACAACCAGACACCTGCAGCAGGTACACAACCAGACACCTGCAGCAGGTACACAACCAGACACCTGCAGCAGGTACACAACCAGACACCTGCAGCAGGTACACAACCAGACACCTGCAGCAGGTACACAACTACACAGCTGCAGCAGGTACACTTGGGATTATGTGATGTCTCTTCCCTCAGTCTCCTCTCCATCTGGCGGTGATCACACGTCAGCCAAAGGTGACAGAGCTTTTGTTGAGGGCAGGGGCCGACCCTAGCCTCGTGGACAAAGACGGCCGCACCCCATTACACCTGGCAGCTTTGGGTGGAGACACAGACATTCTCCGTCTCCTGCTGACTCACCTTGGAGAAAGCCACACACACCTGATCAATACAACGGATTACCACGGTAAGGAGGGGGCGCAGTTTCTTTGAGATGAGGGTTAAATGTGAGCTTAGTGCTGTGTTTATGTCCCTTAGGTCTTCAGCCACTCCACCTAGCTGTGAAGAGGGATGGTGTGAGCTGCCTCCGACTGCTAGTGGAAGGCGGGGCCAAAATCAATGCCCAGGAGCTGAAGAGTGGACATACGGCGCTGCACCTGGCTGTCAGAGAAAACCTCTTCAAGGTTGCCTGCACACTCATAACAGAGGTAATAAACAGTCACAGCGGCATTTAGGCAGGGCCTGTTCTCACCTGGGTTAGACTAATATCACATTTTTCTTCTGCAGCTGAAGGCTGACGTTAACACCTGCACCTTTGGTGGAAACACCGCACTACACCTGGCTTCCAGCCTGGGTTCGCCAACGTTCTGCGCTATGCTCATTGCAGCAGGTGAGACACACGTCATCACATTTGGATTAGATGAAAATTAGTTAATTATCTTATATTACAATAATTTAATGTAATGTTTATTTAATGAGTTAATTATTGAGTTGAAATCTATTGTTTGTCTTTTTGCTGATATGATAATTTATCTCTTAGAGGTTTGGGACCGTAGGTCTGAAGATGTAGGATAATAAACTTTACTCCTAAGAAGTCGCACAACAGGTGTTAAACAGGAAGTGCTTTTACAGGTGCTGATAAGACCATGGAGAACGATGAACCGCTCTTCTTCAGCTCCTCCTCAGATGAGGAGGAAACAGAACCAATGAGTGAGGGGCTTTCAGAGCGAGTTGCTGCCGCACAGCCAATCAAATCTCGGAAGAGGTCTTCAGGAGGACACACACCTCTAGATCTCGCTACATGTCAGAAGGTATTAACATAAATTATAGCCTAGAGCAAAACCAATGCAAGTTCTCCACATATCCAACAGTGTTCCATTATTAGTTGGTGTTAAGTGTCTCCTGTCTGCTTGTCTTATCCTGTCAGGTGCGGAATGTTTTGATTAACCGTCAGAGTCCAAGGTCCAGTCATCGCAGTGCCAAGAAGATCAGACCGAGCAGCAGTGAAGGTTTGTTGAGCTCTGACACGTATGTCTCTCTGACGCCAGCTTGTCTCTCTGCTCCCCGCGTGTCTTTCTCCCCCCCGGGGAATCCCTCTTACCCTGACGTGTCTCACTGACCATGGTGTGTCTCTCTGCTTCCAACGTGTCTCACTGCTCCTGGCATGTCTCTCTGATCCCGGCGTGTTTCTCTGCATCCCGTGTGTCTCTCTGGTCCTCGTGTGTCTCTCTGCATCCCGTGTGTCTCTCTGGTCCTCGTGTGTCTCTCTGAGCCTGGCGTGTCTTTCTCCCCCCTCGGCGTGTCCCTCTTACCCTGATGTGTATCACTGACCACGGTGTGTCTCTCTGCTCCAGGCCTGCACCCCCCCCCCCTCTCCCCAATGTGTCTCTCTGCTTCCGGCTTGTCTGTCTCTCTGCTCTGGCCGTGTCTTTCTCCCCCAGCGTATCTCTCTGCTCCGGGCTTGTCTCTCTGTTCTCGGCATGTTTTTTCTCCCTGGCCTGTCTCTCTGCTCTCCGCGTGTCTCTCTGCTCTCCGCGTGTCTCTCTGATCCCGGCATGTCTTTCTGCTCCCAATGTGTCTCTCTGCTCTCTCCGTGTCTTTCTCTCCCGACGTATCTCTCTGTTCCGGGCTTATCTCTCTGCTCTCGGCATGTTTATTTCTCCCTGGCGTGTCTCTCTGCTCTCCGCGTGTCTCTCTGATCCCAGTGTGTCTCTCTCTTCCCGGCGTGTCTTTCTCCCTCCAGCGTGTCCCTCTTACCGTGACGTGTATCACTGACCATGGTGTGTCTCTCTGCTCCTGGCATGTCCCCCCCCCCCCCCCCCCCCCCCAGCGTGTCTCTCTGCCGTGTCTTTCTCCCCCTGGCGTGACTTTCTGCTCCTGACGTGTCTTTCTCCCCCTGGCTTGTCTCTCTGCTCTCCGGGTGTCTCTCTGATCCCGGCATGTCTTTCTGCTCCCAACATGTCTCGTTGCTCTCACTGTGTCTTTCTCCCCCGGCGTATCTCTGCCCCTGGCATGTCTCTGTGCTCCGGGCTCATCTCTCTTCTCTCGGCATGTTTTTTCCCCCTGGCGTGTCTCTCTGCTCCCAGCGTGTCTCTCTGCCCTCCCCGTGTCTCTCTGATCCCGGCATGTCTCTCTGCTCCCCACGTGTCTCTTTGAGCTTGTTCTGTCTTTCTGCTCCCCGCGTGTCTCTCTGAGCCTGGCGTGTCTTTCTGATCCTGGTGTGTCTCTGATCCGGTGTGTCTCTCTGCTCCCCACGTGTCTCTCTGATCCCGGGGTGTCTCTCTGCTCCCGGTGTGTCTCTCTGCTCCCGGGGTGTCTCTCTGCTCCCGGGGTGTCTCTCTGCTCCCCACGTGTCTGTCTGATCCCGGGGTGTCTCTCTGCTCCCGGCGTGTCTCTCTGCTCCTGACGTGTCTCTCTCCCCCCAGCATGTCTTTCTCCCCCCGGCGTGTCCCTCTTACCCCGACATGTATCACTGACCATGGCGTGTCTCTCTGCTCCTGGCGTGTCTCTCTGCTCTCGCCGTGTCTTTCTCCCCCGGTGTATCTCTCTGCTCCCGACACGTTTTTTCCCCCCCTGGTGTGTCTCTCTGATCCCGGCGTGTCTTTCTTCTCTCGGCGTGTCTTTCTGCTCCCAGCATGTCTCTCTGATCCCGGCATGTCTCTCTCACCTGGCGTGTCTTTCTCTCCCCGGCGTGTCTCTCTGATTCCGGCGGGTATCTGTGACCCTTGCATGTCTGGTGGTGTGACCCCCTTCATTCCTAAGTTCCAGATTTTGAGCATTCAGCGCTGGACGAGGACACTTTGTCCCGGCTGGTGGAGGTTCTGAGTGTAGGAGATGTTTCTTGGATGAATCTGGCTGAGAAACTGGGAATGATGACGTTGACCCATCTGTACCAGGACAGCCCGACTCCATGCCAACAGCTGCTGCAGCATTATAAGGTAATACCTGATCTATTGGTTACTTTTTCATAAATAGTCAATATAATACAAAGGTATCCAATAAAATGTAATATTCCATAAAAATATGGATCATCAATATTATTGAACCTTTAATATTGGATTGCTGATGAAACTAGGTACTTTGGTTAATCCAGGGAAATAACACTTTATAATAATTAGACTCAGAGACAAAAATAAAGTTTATAAAAATCTATTTATTACTAGAGTAATGATGATGAAAGGTAAATGATTATAAATGGTGACTCAGTGATGTTAAATGAGACAATGAATGAACTCTGATGAAACATGATCTGGTGTGAGACAGAGTACAGTAGCACGTCTGCAGCTTGTGCAAAACGCCGCGGCAAGATTCCTAGAAGTGAAAAGGAAATACATAAAAGGAAATATACATAAAACACCACTCAACACCATAATTTAAGTAAAGGAAAATATAATTCACTATTTTCGGTGTACCTCACTCCTTTGGCCAACGGGTGCTAATCACAAATAGCAGTTCCACACAAGACAGGTAATCTGTTGACTGGGCCAGCAGGTGTAGTGTCATGACAAGCGCTTAAATAAAAAACACAAAATAAGACGACGCATCAGTGAGAACGTAGCATTCAAACACGCCTCCGTCAAACAATGTGTCTACTTATATAACTTCTGTGTGTGTGTGTGTGTGTGTGTGTGTGTGTGTGTGCGTGCGTGCGTGCGTGCGTGCGTGTGTGTGTGTGTGTGTGTGTGCGTGCGTGCGTGTGTGTGTTTTCAGGTGGGTGGAGGTCCTGTTGAGGTTTTGATGGAAGCTCTTAAGTCTTTGGGTCTGACAGAAGGAGTCCGACTGCTGAGGAGCACCCAGCTACAAGATGACAAACACAACACAGGTAACTCCTGTCAGGCTGTTCTTTTCCAACAACACTAACGGTCCAGAACAAAACAAAACATTTTGGGCCTACCTGTCAGATTAACCAGTTTCAATGGGCCACTAGGGGGTGCTCTAGTAAGCAGCTCTTAGCTTCATGAGTCAGACAACAGGGCCATAAAATTAAAACTAAGAAGTTCCTGAAAAAAAATTGACAGGGGCTTCCAATGCAACAGTTTCAATATGTAGTAGAACATTGTCTCACCACCTGGATTATAAAGAACTTTTATAAAGGAGCACTTCCTGGACTCAACATAAGTTGGTTTGAGGTGCTCTTTGGATGGGAAGATACAGTCGAAAAAACAAGAGACACTCCAAGGCACTCTCAAATAGAAAAAGTTAAAAAGCCTTTATTTTATTGGCTAGGTCACATATGGCCTTTTTAAAACTCCAAATGCGTTTCTTTTTTAAAATTTGTTAATTTATTTATTTATTTTTCCTGTGTCCTTACTGGCTGTGAAGCAAACAGAATTAATGTCTGAATGTCGGTGACGAGCCTTACAGATTTACTCTCAGGTGGAGCATCAAAGCTTCTGCTTTAATGTCATGCCTGATACTTAAAACGTTATTGTTTTTTTTTAATCCTTTGTAATTCTGACCAGACACGGAGACAGAGGTGGAGGGGGGTCCCCAAAAATAAACAATCAATGATGAACAAGAGTCTGCTTCTAGACTTGCAGATAGAGAAAAACAACACACCACAATACAACAGGAGCAAGCTATCACTGCATCAACTTGATGAGGAAATATAAAATCAACATTGTTTTACTGAACAATCACACGATAATGAATCACAGTGCATGTAGTGCCAACCACAGCCTTAAGACATGTGTTGAATGTGCCCAATCCATACTTATGTGAGCACCTGTGTATGTACACGCACTTATATATGTAAGGTTTCTCTATAGGAGCGTCCAATAGAGAGCGTGAGGGGTCACAGATCTGCACCCAGAGATGTGTAGGAGATGGAGGGAACGCCAAGTCCCAGAGTTCCAGGAGCTGTCCCAGAGCACAGGGACCCCGGGGAGACTGTAACTAGAAAAGCCCCTGCCCCCTCTCAAGAGGCGCAGAGGATTGCCCCAGGGGGTCACAACCAGCAGCCAGCAGAGTCCCAGGAGATATCAGTGGCAAGCCCATAGGCCCGCCCGCAACCTCCCACCCCCAAGCCGGCCGAGCCCGGAACCCAGCGACCCGGGACCCAGGGGCGACCAGCCCCGCCGGGGACCCAACAGAGCTCGGGGACTCAGATCCCACCAGGCAGCCTCCAGGATCAATCAGGCAGACTCCAAAAATCTGAAACCCCCTTACCTGGGAGCCGCGAACACTCAGGCAGACCAAGGCACCACATTCCACATCAACCTAAGATTTACAAAAATGAACGCTAGAAACCCACTCACGCTCCCCATATACACCCTATTCACTCTGATCCTGGTACTGCTGCACAATGGTTCCAACCATCATCGGTTCCCAGAGTTTGCCCCTTTCTGCTGGGGTGCTGATGAGCAGGCTCCCCCGCCCAACGCTGAGCAAAGCATCCCACCACCCCAGACCCCAACATGATGGCCAGCACACCCTCCTAGCCTCCAGCCCCAAACTCCAAACACGTTTCGGCAAGTGTAGCCTTCGTCAAGGAGTCAATGGTTCTCAGCAGTAAGGAGAAGTTCTTAACCTATACAAGCACCAATCAGAAAGCTCCACATAGCAGATGTGTTAGACAGGTGACAAGTGTCAACAATCACCAGCAGGTATCGTCCTTACTAAATAGAAAGAAACGGACATAGTAAATAAAATACACCAAATATCATACATTATATACAAATGGTTAAAATGCACCCAATAGAAGTAAAATTATAATATCAAGAGCAAAAGGGATAAGAATAATGCCAAAACTTCAAACAGACTAAACCAAACAAAAACTCTTAAGTCTATGTCATCATTAATGCCTGGATGTTTAGTAGCCTGCAGTTTAAATATCCAAAAAGTCTCCTTCTGATTTAGCTGTCTCTAACACTCTGTCTCTAGTTGAGACAGCTAAATCAGAAGGAGACTTTTTGGATATTTAAGACAAAGCAAAGGACCTTAAATTTTGCCCGAAAGACCACTGGAAGCCAGTGTAACAATGCCAGCACAGGAGTAATATGTGCTTGTTTTCCTTGTCCCTGTCAGAAACCTGGCTGCTGAGTTCTGAACCAACTGGAAACAATTCATTACTGCCTGGCTCAACTCAACATATAGAGCATTACAATAGTCGAGCCTAGAAAAAGCAAAGATGTGGAGCGATGACTCCAGATGTGCTCGGGACAGCATGGGCTTGATTTTTTCCACCTGTTGCAGGTTAAAGAAGCAGGCTCTTACAATCACATTGATGTGAGACTCCAGTTTGAGTCCTGCACCCCCAGGCTGGTGACAACTGACTTCTGGTAGGGTGAGAGAGCAACTAGATCAGAGGCAGAACTCACTAGGGAGAAATGTAATAAGCTCAGTCTTTGTATCATTCGCGTGAAGGTGATTAGCTGCTAGCCATGACAACATCCTTTAGACAAGCCAGGAGATTAACAATGGAGCTCCTCTCTCCTGGACAAACAGGAACATAGATCTGGCAATCATCTGCATACAGATGAAACGTAACACCATCTTTACACAGGGTAGCCCTCAGCGGAAGTAAATGAGAAAATAGGAGTGGCCCCAAGACAGAACCCTGAGGTACTCCTCATCATAAGTCTTCCCAAGGTGACACAGAACCTCCTACCCAAAGGATAAGAGCGCAGCTACTGAAGGGCAGACCCTGTGATCCCCACCCATCACTCCAGGCGATCCAGCAGAATCTCATGGTTAACCATGTCAAAGGCTGCTGTTAGGTCCAATAACAACAGAACCACAGCTGCTCCCTGGTCCATGGCTATAAAGACGCCATTTAAACCATCAACAGTGCAGCCCGTGTGCTGTGTCCAGCCCTAAAACCAGATAGGAAAATCTCAAGTATATTGGAATCATCCAATAAAGACACCAGCTGCTGATAGACAACCTATTCCAACAGTTTGGAAATGAAAGGATGTTTGGAGATGGGCCGATAATTTGCCAGAACAGACATGTCAGAACCTGACTTCTTTAGTATCGGTATGACTACTGCATCTTTCATTAAAGATGGAACAGAACCCGAGTGCAAGCTACCATTTATGATGATTAAAATAAATGGACCCAGTGTGGAGAAGGCGAGCCAGCAGACTTTTGATGAGCGACTAGCCCTCCCAACTCAGCTAAAGAGACTGGATCAAAAGTAATTGTTGGAAGTAACTGAGTTATTTTTTAGGTAATGGGGTAATATAATTAATTGCTTTTCCCATCTTAGCAACGCTGTTACCGTTACTGGGCATGGAAAGTGGTGCATTGCTACGATGTGGTTGAATGAAGGCTGCCAGCACTGTCGGGCTTTCTGACAGACACACTAGCGATGTGTCAGTTGTGAAAGAAACTGCTCTTAGAGTTGATCAGTGCTGGCTCCTTCTCAGCGGAGCCGAAGTGAGTGACACACTCTCCCCACCTTAACCCAAGCTAGTAACAAATGGCAAAAATAAGCATACACACTCATGTACACCTCCAGTCTGATGGCGCTGCATTGCACACACTTACCTACAATCAGTATGAAAGGAGGGTAGGGGTGGCACATGCCAAATGCCTGGGACAATTACTACAGGAAGGTGATGGACCTGTAGAGGAAAAAAGGAAATAAACAGCGCTTCAGAAAGGTGAGGAGATGAGTGAAAACAGAACGGGCTACCAAATTTTGTATTTTTTTTTATATAGCAATTATTTAATGTATCCTAGTACTAATTGTATTCGTCTTAGTCAAACCTGCAGACGAAGACATCGACAGCTATGTTGTTACTATAGAAATTATAATTAAGGTTTCCATAAGAACAACAGCACTAGTAGGAATTAGGTTTGATAAATCTCAGAATCCCTGAAAACCTACGGTGGCCTTTTAAAAATGTATTAGGCAGACTGTATAGGTGTTGCTGATATCTATAATTCTATTGTTCCTGGTTGAAATTAGCATTCCAGACATCCACGAGAACCTTCTTACTGAATGAACATTTCAGATATCTGCCATGTTCATCCTAGGTAGTAAGAATCATACAGTTATAAACATCTTTGACGTAAAAGATATTATCGAACATGACTGCATTATAGAACATACAAGTAATGTCACTGGGACTTTGCTAGGTAGCTAATTACCTTCACAATGTGTTAACTGAGTTACTAACTCTATTACTTTTGGGAAAAAGTCATTTGTAATTATAAATAATTACTTTTTTAACGTAAGATGCCCAACACTGTTGATTACAATATAGGATGTGCATTTTATTGAGAGAAGTCCTAAGGAAATGAGAGATACTGTCTAAAAGGGTGAATACTTGCCATCACTTTATATTTAATTTCCCATTTCAGTTCAGATTACCCACCCTTTTTGGAGTCCCTGGGACGAGTGCTAGATAGTGCTCCATCAAGGGGACTCCATTGTCCTGCTGCGGGACTTCAATGCTCACGTGGACAATGACCGCATGACCTGGAGGGGTGTGATTGGGAGGAACGGCTCGCCTGATCTGAACTCGAGTGGTGTTTCGTTATTGGACATCTGTGCAAGCCGCAGTTTGGCCATAACGAACACCTGGTGGTGAGTTGGATCAGATGGCAGGGGAAGATGCTGCGTAGACCTGGCAGACCCAAACACATAGTGAGGGTCTGCTGGGAATGCTTGGCAGAAGAACCTGTCAAGACGGTCTTCAACTCCCACCTCCGGCAGAGCTTTGACTGCATCCCGAGAGCAGTGGGGGACATCTACTCCGAGTGGGCCTTGTTCCACTCTGTGATTGTTGAGTTGCTAGCTGTGGTCGTAAGGTGGCCGGTGCCAGTCGTGGTGACAACCCCCGTACCCACTGGTGGACACCAGAGGTTCGGGGAGCCGTCAGGCTGAAGAAGGAGGCCTACATGGCGTGGCTGGTCTGTGGGTCTCCGGAGGCAGCAGACGGGTACCGGATAGCCAAGCAGGGTGCAGCAGTGGCAGTTGCCGAGGCAAAATCTCGGGCGTGGGAGGAGTTTGATGAGGCCATGGAGAAAGACTATCGATCAGCGCCAAGGAGGTTCTGGCAAACTGTCCGGCGCCTCAGGAGAGGGAAGCAGCAACTCGCTCACACTGTTTACAGTGGGGATGGGGAGCTGCTGATGTCAACTGGGGCTATAGTCGGACGGTGGAAGGAATACTTTGAGGAGCTCCTCAATCCAACCTACGCGCATTTTGAGGACAGAGCCGGGAGACCTGGGGATGGACTGTCCAATTTCTGGGGCAGAAGTTGCTGAGGTAATCAAACAACTACACAGCGGCGGAGCCCCGGGGGTGGATGAGATTCAACCTGGGTATCTCAAGGCTATGGATGTGGTAGGGTTGTCGTGGTTGACTCATCTCTGCAACACTGCATGGTCATCGGGGGCAGTTCCTGTGGAGTGACAGACCGGGGTGGTGGTCCACATCTTTAAAAAGGGTGACCGGAGGGTGTGTTCCAACTATAGGGGGATCACACTCCTCAGCCTCCCGGGAAAGGTCTACTCCAAGGTACTGGAGAGGAGGGTCTGATCGATAGTCAAATCTCAGATTGAAGAGGAGCAATGTGGTTTTCGTCCTGGCCGTGGAACTGTTGACCAGCTCAATACCCTTGCAAGGGTGATGGAGGGGGTATGGGAGTTTGCCCAACCAATCCACATGTGTTTTGTGGATTTGGAGAAGGCTTATGACCGTGTCCCCAGGGGCACCCTGTGGGCGACGCTCCAGGAGTATGGGGTGGGTGGCCTTTTGTTAAGGGCCATTCAGTCCCTTAACCAGAGGAGTGTGAGTTTGGTCCGCATAGCTGGTAGTAAGTTGGACCTGTTCCCGGTGAGGGTTGGACTCCGCCAGGGTTGCCCTTTGTCACCGGTTCCGTTCGTAACCTTTATGGACAGAATTTCTAGGTGCAGCCGTGGTGTGGAGTGTGTCGAGTTTGGTGGCAGGAGAATCTCGTCTCTGCTTTTTGCGGATGATGTGGTCCCAGCTCTGACCTTCAGTTCTTGTTGGGTAGGTTCACGGTCGAGTTTGAAGCGGCTGGGATGAAGATCAGCACCTCCAAATCTGAGACAATGGTTCTCGACCGGGAAAGGGTGACTTGCCAACTCCGGGTCGAGAGAGAGGTCCTACCTCAAGTGGAGGAGTTTAAGTATCTCTGGGTCTTGCTCATGGGTGAGGGTAGGAGGGATCGGGAGATCGACAGGCAGATTGTTCGGCATCTGCAGTGATGCGGACGCTGAGCCAATCTGTCATGGTGAAGAAGGAGCTGAGCCATAAAGCCAGGCTCTCGATTTACCGGTCGATCTACGCCCCAATCCTCACCTATGGTCATGAGCTTTGGGTAATGACCGAAAGAACGAGATCGCGGATACAAGCGGCCGAAATGAGTTTCCTCCGTAGGGTGGCCGGGCTCAGCCTCAGAGATAGGGTGAGGAGCTCGGACATTCAGGAGGGACTCGGAGTAGAACCGCTGCTCCTCCGGATTGAAAGGAGTCAGTTGAGGTGGTTTGGGCATCTCGTCAGGACGCCTCCCTGGGGAGGTGTTTCAGGCATGTCCTGCCGGCAGGAGACCCCCTGGTCAACCCAGGACACGTTGGAGAAGTTAAATCTCCAATCTGGTCCGGGAACGCCTTGGGGTCCTGCCGGAGGAACTGGTGGAGGTGGCTGGGGAGAGGACGGTCTGGAGCACCCTAGTTGGGATGCTGCCCCCGCGACCCGGACCCGGATAAGCGGAGGAAGACGATGACGATGGCATTTGTACTGCAGCTTCTGGTGCAGATAGATCAAAAAGGAGCAGCAGGGACAAGATTCTGCAATTTGTGGGAAGTATTTTTTATCATTTTTACAAGTTAAGAGAAGAGAAGCGTCTGAAAACGTCCAACAAAAAAAAAGTCAAATGTTTGGACATGTGGACAAACACTGGGAGTGATGTGCTCGGTTCTCTTGGTCCTTGTTTAGACTCCAGCAGCTGTGTTCTGAATGAGCTGCAGTTGCTTCACAGCCTTTTTGGAGGCCAGACAGAAAAGTTCAACCTGGTTCCATAAAAACCCAAAAGGCCAAATTTTAAGAAAATCTTGTCAAAGTGTTGCTGTTTGTCAGATTTAGAGTTTACAGTGGATAAATTCAGTTCTAGCAGTACCAACACTTAAGCCAGACATACACCGTATGACTTTTTAACTTTTTTGAGCAGATTTTCCTCTCGAGTGAGAATCCACAAGATCGAGGTGAGTTTTGCGCTGTGCGTCTTGTAGTATACAGGGGGTTACGAGAGGCGATTAACACCACGTGACCAGCTACCGATTAGCAGTCGTGAGCTTGCATCATGATTTGCTCGTCCCTTGTGAGTGCATTGCACTGTGGTGGCGCTTCGAGCAGCTGCAACCCAAAACGTACCAGAACCGCTCACGGCATATGCGTCAACATGGCTTGACAGCTATTTCCCTATTGTCACGCATCATTCATTTTTATCTCTGCACTTTTTTTACACACACAATGACAAGGGTTATCAAGAAAGCGTGTTTGATAAATTAAACTGATCACAAAACATTGATTTATTGTCTTTCTTCCTGTTACGTCCCCTCTGGCATCCAGGAGTGGTGAGGGGAGAACACGGAGTAAAATAAAATAATGTACAATAAAAAGGAATGGACAATGATGGATGGTGTCTGTTTGTGATGGGAAATAAGTGAATGGAAGGATTTAAATTAAATGGTTGTTTTTCAAAAGTTTTATTTACAAAAGTGGGATAGGAGGTATTTAACAAACAAACTAAATAAAATCCCTCTGCTTAAAACAGGGAGCAGCAAACCAACAACAACTTAAAGCGCTCTTTCTGGCGTTGACCAGAGAGAGGAGTCCAAGAAGGGAAAACACGCCTATTTTAAACTAAACTGACCACTAAAGAAACAAAGAATAAACCTAAACCATAACCAACACTACAACAACCTACAAAACAGAAGCTAGAAATCTCCTTAACTAAAAATCCTCCAAAACAAAACAAAGTCAAGCTAAACTGAGGATTGGGAGATTAAACAATAACAGGAGGCAAAAAGCACAATTCATCTATATCATTTAACTATATCAAACACTATTAACTCAGGGATACTACCAGCCAACCAATATCTATATCAAAAACTCTAGGACACTGACAGCAAGCCAAAACCTATGAATGGAGATCACAGTAACTAGATACAGAGTCTCTGAGAGATCACAGTTTTAACACTGAGTCTCCTCTGTAGCTGTGTCTCCCTGAATGATGAAGTTGGGAGGCTTAAAAAGGCTCCAGGAGCGGCTTATGAGTAATTGGATGCAGCTGCTCCACAACACTCTCTGCTGGACTCTGGTGGTGTGCGACTGGGTTGCAGGACTTGGGGCCTGCAGCAGGAGATCTCCAGGTTATCAGGGAGCAGAACCTCTGGGTTCCTCACACTTCCTTTCATCTTCCTCATCCAACCCACATAAATCCCTGTGTGTCCTACAGCACTCCCGTAGGACGACAGACATCAATAACAACACAAAAAAAGTCTGGCGTGCTTTGTAAAAATGGCTATTTTTAGCATATTGTTAGGTTTGACCTGTTGCTACCAGATGTACAGTGTGAATACAGGACTCATGAGATTTGCTTTGCTGGGGAAGTTTTACAGTTTGAGGTTCAACCACAAAAAAACGCGGATAAAAAAATGAAGAACTTGGGTTCTAGAACTGCAGCATACTGTAAGGGACACAGACATACTATGTAAATCTGGTACTGAACAAGTACCAGGGCTGCATGGTGGCGCAGTGGTTAGCACTGTTGCCTCGCAGCACGAAGGTTGCAGGTTCAAAACTCGCCTTTCTGCGTGGAGTTGCGTGTTCTCCCCATGCATGCGTGGGTTTTCTCCGGGTACTCCGGTTTCCCCCACAGATCACAACATGCCCTATAGGTAAAAAAAAAAAAAAATTGTAAGTCGCTTTGGGAAAAAGCGTCTGCTAAGCACATAAACATAAACAACATAAGTACTGAGCACATACTGAATATTGTATTGGTGGTATTGTGTACTAGGATAACGCCTGTACCAGTTAAACTGAGGAGTTATACACTCTTACTGCCGAGGGTGTGAATGACCTACAGTAGCGTTCTGTTCTTCATCTGGGACGTCTCAGTCTGCTTCTGAAGGAGCTGTCCATGGTCTCCACAGTGGAATGCAGTGGGTGGGAGGGTTTTTAAGATGGTGGTCATCTTCCCCAGCATCCTCCTTTCACACATCTCCTCAACTGAATCCAGTGAGGAGATGTCCTAGAGTTTTAAAATGAGCACTTTCTTCGATTTCCACTTTTGACTTCCACCTGTTTCACTTTCTGCTAAAGCGCCCCCTGGCAGGTGAAGGAAAATCTTCAGTAAAGCCGCACCTCATTATAAGCCGCATGGTTCAAAACGTGGGAAAAAAGTAGCGGCTGATAGTCCGGAAAATACGGTAGTTTGTTCTGTTTCTTCCTGTCTAGGTCAGAGCTGCCTGCATTTCAGGATTCATTAAAAAATAAGCAATTATGAAAAAACTCATCTGGTTTATGTTTTCTGTCCAATCAGACGCTACAGTTGACAGTGGTTTCAGCAGCCAGCCAATGGAGGATCAGGAGGAGGAGCCAGCTGTGGCCAATCAGTGATGAGCTGGATCATTATCTGATGAAAGTCAACATGTGATAGTCAAGATCTCAGACCTTCTGGGGTGGAAACCAGAATAAAAGGAGAAAAACTGAACTGGCAACCGTGGATAAGAACTGTAACATAAAACAACCCTCAAACTTAACTTCTTTGTGTAATTTATACTTCTTGTTTTCTTCAATAAAAGGTTACTTCATGTGTGATTGAGTCTTTTAGTTTCATCGTGAACTTCGTCTTGAGGGTGGCAGCCCATCTCGACTTCCGTCCACTCACTTCAAATGTATGGGGATCCAACAGAACCAGAACGCTTTCTGTAAACCTGACCACATAAAAGCTGCTGGACATTTAACAGTGAGGAGTCTAGAGATGACATCACCTAAAGATGCTAATGAGAGGTGTTTATTTGTATCTACTTGAGTAAAATCATAAAGGAGTGGTTTCACTGGGGGGTCTGGTGCTGGGGGCTGCTGCCTCGTCCTGGTGGTGCTTGGGTGACCTTGTGGGGTGTCCGACTTGCGGCCTTGTGTGGGGCCTTGAAAGGTCTTTGATGGCGGCCACAGGTCGCTGCTTGACAGCCATATTGCCCCTGGGTGGGTCTGGGGAAGGGCCAGGTGGCTTGGGATATGGGGGCTGTGCCTCGGGTGGACCTTGGTACCCCCTGAACTGGCAGGGACACTTCTATTCTGTCACGCGAGAGGGGGATCTCTGGGAGAGGGAGGATCTAACTTTATCTGGGTGTCTGATGCATAACGGGGTCTGGAAAATCAAATGCAGGGGTGGGGTTGAGTTGATGACCTCTGCCTTCGTGGGGTTCTTTGATGCTGAAACTGTCGGCCCTGGCTAGATGAGTTGGGGTCTCCACGCCCTGGGTAGGTTTTGGGAAAAGGGGTGCCTATTGCTGGGTTTCACTCACGTGGCATCTGCAGCCACATGAAACTTAAATGGGGGACAGGAAGTGTTTTGCTCTGCAACAAAACAGATCCAACACGGCGCGATGGATGAAAGCGATTCTACTAAGGCTTTAAATGAGCTGGCACAGATGCGATATCGCCAAAAAATACATCTTTTTTTAGGTTATGACCCATTTAGTTTTTAAAGTTACACTTTTCATACACTGTGGAGGATTTACCCAGCGCTGAAGCGATCTGCAACAAACTACCTTATGCTGCCTTCCTCATATTACACTGCAAACCAAACTAAAGCCTTTTGCAAGCCTGGAAGCCTACAGCTATTTTATATTAGGTTGGTTAACCTGTTAGTGATCCAGAGGAGCTTTAACCATCGTCTTTGCTTGGTAGTGAGTTGTGCCATTTTAATTCATTAGCTCATGATAATAATGCTATCGCTAATGCTAAAAATCAGTACGTACCAGGATCTACTTGTAATAGGGCTGGGCAATAAATTGAAAATTTATTGTTATCGAAATTTCTGACTCTTATCAAGAAAATTTTCCATGTCAATAAATTTGATAATAAAAAAATGAAAATATGTGTATAAGCTGGCAACATTCATGTCCATTTAAGAAGCTGTACCACCTTGAGTCATACAAAAATGTGACTCAGTGTAATACACGTGACAGCCCCATCTAGTGGATAACTTGTTTCTGTGCATAACTGTAGTTATCGTCCACTTATCTTTATCGAGGTGAAATCCTCAATATATGGTGATATTGATTTTAGGCCATATTGCCCGGCCCTAACTTGTAACTAACTTTTTATGCCCTTTTAAATAAAAAAACTTCTGGTTTGATTTAAATAAGGTATAAATGCCACATTACAACACTAAGCTAACTGCTAAAAACATTAGCACTCTGAAAGCTATTTGTAGTGAGGACACGTGAAAACAGTATAAAACTGTTAACCTGGCATTTTTGTTGCTGTTTCTAAGCAACTGTTTAACGAAACACTCAGTGATCTCTTACCTTTTGTAGTGTGACAGATTGTACTACATAATTATTAAATGATCAATAAGATGTGATATTCCATATAAATATCAATTTTCAATCTGATTGATTTTTGAATATTTATTTGATTTAATATTACCTTACGTTCTTTGAACTATTCAGGGAGCACACACTTCATAATAATTCAGACAGTCAAGGATATCGTTGATGAAAATAAATGTAATTCCATCTTTCTAAACTAGTGATTACACATGACAAATTATGAATGAAAAGATGGTTGTACAGATAACAGATAATGAAGTGATGGAATGTAAGCCAAATGTTTATGTAGCAAAAAGTATCAGAGATATTGTGATGTCTGGGTTGTAAAATCAGTTTGAACAAGCTACAGATCATTCATAAACTCATCTGACGCCAGTGTGCAAGTCTACGATACTCTTGTGTGACGATCGCTCTCGGAGGTCCGGAGAAGAGGCAGCCAAGGTGGTGAGTTCACTGGACACAGTGGCTACTGGAGTCTCAAAGAGTTGCAGCCCCCTTTGAGTTCAGACATCACTGGCCATGAGATGCTACCAGGGTCTGCAGGTTAGACGTTTCACGTCGGAGGTGCTGTAGCATCTGAAACACTCGCAAGCATTGCAGAGAGGTGGTGACCTTGAGGTCCAAAGAGATGATGATCCCAAATGCTTTGCTAACCCGGTCGGCCGAACCGGGAGGTGGCGGAGAACTGCCAGTTCAGGAAGTGAACTCCCAGTGTTGCTATGAAGAGTGGGAGAAGGGGTGTGCATGGACAATCCAACACAATGAGCAGCACATAAAACACATTTTATAAGTGGTCAGAAACTTGTAAATAACTCATGAAATAATAAAGTTACATTAAAACCAAGCACAACATTGTTTTTCTTGTGAAATTACCAACAAGTTTGATCTGTCACATGACCCTCTTCCTACTGAAAAAACAAAAGTTGGATCCAAGATGGCCAACTTCAAAATGGCCACCATGGTCACCATCCATTTTGAAAAGTTTGCTCCCTCACATATACTAATGTGCCACAAACAGGACATTAACATCACCAACCATTCCCATTTTATTAAGGTGTATCCACAGAAATGGCCCACCCTGTATTTATTCCAATCAGCAAATTATAAAATCCCACTTAGCAAAATCCGCAGGCAGGGACCACGATGAGAAGGAAGCCAGAGCCATGAGAATGAGCCAGACCATAGTGAACCACAGCAAATCCAGAAAATAGGAATCCCCAGAGAATGTCCAGAAGAACCAGAACCCAGACTAGGAGGAAGCATATGCCAGGAAATGGTAGTGATGTCAGTCCAAGGCAAGGAGGACATCTGGTGGAACCCAGCAAAGCATCAAAACACACAAACAGGGCAAAGTATTTTTGAATTGAATTGAACTGAATTGAATTTGATCATAGACCCTCGCAGATGGCGTCTGATGGAAATGAACAAATAAAACTCTAGGACTATATGTACCCTACATGCGCTATGTATATGGGGATTATGTGAATGGAGGTCAGCTGAAAGATGTGGATGTAGTAAACTACGTGTACCAAAAAGGTGCAGAAAAACACAAAACAAAAAACTGAAAGCTTGTAAAAGTAATTAATAGAAGTCAAAAATGGAAGAGCAAATTAATCAGTAGCTCATAACCGACAAAAATTGAAATGAAAGTAAAATAAAAGGTGTGTGATGAAGAAATCAATGGTATTAAATGCAATGGGAAGGTAAAAATCATCACCCCTAAATGCCGCTGCAGGTACGACGAGAGATGGATGTGGAATTGGAGGCAGAGGCGGTGGTGCAGTACCATTTGGAAATGTAGGCGTCATGTTTAGACAGTTCCCCAAAAGTTGGTTTTAAAATCTCTTTGCTGGTCTGACACCAAATGAGCCACCAGACAAAAGGTGTAGAGTGACATCCAGCAGGAGTCAGCTGATCGGGGGGCACTTGGGGGTGGGCCAGGCAGAAGGCCCCCTGATGTTGGTGAGATTTTTGAAATTAATTTTGACTTCCCTCCCTCAGACGATCACATAATTGTAGTTTGAAATTAATTTAAATATCATGAAACGTTTAAGTTTAATTTATTTTGAAAAGCCACTGGCTTCTCATGGCCGAAGGAGAGGAGAAAAGTCTCCCAGTTTCGAGTAAATTTTTTGAGCATGGAGCGCGCTAAAATCAAACCAGCAACACAAAATGAAAGGACAGGGTGAGTTAATGGGGGAAAAAGGTCTACTGATTTTCAGCTTTAAGCAAAAGCAGTGTAAATTAGAATTTTGGAAGTGAGTGCACAGAGGTTTCTACAGTGTTTCTCACCTGTTTCTTTGTCCTCTACAGGGTGTTTGGGCAATTCTTTCCTTCAGGGTCCAGACACTCTTAAGGTTCCGGGAGAGGCCATAGGAGAAGGGTGTGGTGTGTTTTGTATGTAGTTTGTTGTTGTTGTAAAATGTATAGGTGCTATGTTTTAAAAATCTTAATAAAAATAGCTAGAAAAATGTTTTGTATTTAAAATGGTTGAATAGGTGGTATAATAGATTGAAGAGGTAGTGGTTAAACACCCCTGTGGGTGGAAGATGGTTTAGTCCAGGTGACAGCTGAAACTATTTAAGGCTGCAGAAATAGATGAGAGGGGTGTTTTGTTTGGCATGTGCTGGAATAAACTGTTGCTACCTCCACCTTATGCTGCCTCCGTCATCTTCACTGTAAATCCAACTGCAACGGCCGTGTTTATGACGATGTTATTTCCGCCTCTCAGAGATACTGGGACCTGAATAACACATTCATGATGCCATTCACACCAAACTGCACACAAATGATTCCTGATTCCTGTTAACCTGCAAAATGCTCAATGAGATTTTTAATACATTTTTGGAAGTGCCACCTAGATGCAATAAAAATTTTAACACCTTCTCTGAAAAAGCTCCAAACTGTAACCAACTTGGTGGGTGTCATTACACAACTCTACTCAACACATTTATGTGCTCATTGGTTGAAGTCACTTTAACTCCACCCCCTTAAAACCCTTTGGCTCTAGATAACACAAGCAACATCTGATTGACGTCAAACTACAAGAAGCCATCTTCATTGACCTAAGATGGCCTCCAAGGGATTTTAAACTAAACAGTCAGTTTCCCCTAGATAAGTTCAAACTTTAATAACTTTAAAAACAAGATCAGAATGGCATAACACTTTGTCATCACACAACTTGTATTGAACACATTTAAGTGGTTGTTGGTTCAAATCCCTTTAGCTCTACCCACTTACTCTCCGTTGTCTCCAGGT